CTCATCTGGATTTTCTCGGGTTCTGTAACGTCCGCGTCCCGCGATCCTAAAGGGGGGCCGGTTTGTTTTAGGGAAAACTAGATCATGGTCGAGAAAGACCAATGAATAAGTTAACCCAAGGAAGGAATGAGACGTTTAAGTCATGAAAAGGGTAGATGACTTAGACGACATCGGGATAATCTAGTGATCATGGAGAAATGATCATGGAAAGATTAGGAATCGCGAAGTCAAGGCCGAGAAACGGACAGAAAGACTTAGCCAAAAAGAACGTGAAAGAACGTTCGAGCTAAACCAGCTAGGTGAGCTGGACAAGCTGGATGAACTAGCTAGCTCAGCTAGGTGAGCTAAACTAGCTGCATGACTAGCTAGCTCAGCTAGGTGAGCTGACCGACAGCTCAACTGAGCTCGGTGAACTGATCGAGTACTGACCCAGCTGGGTGGTCTGCTCAGCTGACACTCGAGCTGGTGGACTGTGGTAGCTCGGGATGAAGAGGTGTAAGGTCGAGCGGTTACCGACGAACGGTTACCGTTGGCCAAAGGGTGGATAAGGCCGAACGGTTACGATCGGAAAGATGCAACCTTTCGAAAGGGTGCAACGAACGGATGTGATGTTTCGGAAACACACCCATTCGGTCCCTATATAAGGGAGGACGTCCAAGGGCATTGGAATCATCCTCACACACTTCACAATCACGATCTCAACCTAAAACAGTCCCAAAACACACCACGAAGTCGTTGGTCGGAAAGGGGGTGCGGCTCGGCGAGTATCTCCAGGAGGCTTGACCGAACTGATGCGCACGCTACCTCCCGATCCAACGGTTCGATGGAATGTTTGGATGGATTGATCGGACCTGATCGTCGGAGGGACGGATCGGAACGGGTAGATCGTTCGTCGGAGAGACGGAGCGGTTCGGGTGAGATTGTCGGGTCGACCGAATGATCGGATCATGGTATCAATCGATGGATCGGATCGATGGAACGACAACTCGATCAAGGAGTAGGATGGACGGAGAGTTCGACGACTTGATGAATGGTTCGGATCGATAGCTCGATTATGGGATCGATGGATCGTTCGTTCTTTAAATCATATCGTCGAGGGAAGGACACGTAAAGGAAGGAATGGCAAATCTAAGATTGTCAATATGAAAGTATTGACGAATCCAAAGATAGACCGATAGATGATATGGTTAACGGGAAGTTAATCGGGAAGGTGTATAAGGGAAAGGTGTTCCAAGAAGCACGGGGATAAGTGCAACCGATCACACCCAAGGGTCGCCCATGGATGCAATCTCACCGGTAAAGGGAGTAAGCACCGAGAATGGGTAAGTGACGTGGTTCACCATGTAAGGATCTAATATCGCGGCCGCCTTTATGTATCAATCGCCATGGCCAATGGTGAAACCGATTAGGAATCGGTAAGACCAATGGTGACTCGACGGATAACCAACGGGAAAGTCCACGGTGGGAACCGGTGGACAAAACGGATGTTGGACCCGCGAGTAAACCAAAGGCCGACGGACGAATGATTTCATGGGCTAGCCTACGATAATCTGATGGATGAATCCACGAACCCTTGGGTGTGATAATGATATTGTTCGGATCGCATGGACGGATCGATAAGCCGAAGGCTTTACCGACCACCATGGACCGGACGGGTAAACGGTTAATAAACCGTGGGCGGTCGTAGTGATAAACGACCGGATCGGAAACATGGATGGTTCGATAAGCCGAGGGCTTGATCGTCCACCATGAAACCGAAGGGGCGTACGTTTGGAGGACGGATGGACCAATGAGCCAAGAGCTTGATTCGGCCACCGTGAACCAAGGGAAACGTACGATCCCCAATCTCTATCGTAGCGACTTAGACCAGTGGGGTTGGTTGGATGAATGGCTAAGTAACGATAGAGATTGGTCCATCAATACACGATTGGTTAAGAATCATTGTACGAATGGAATAAGGCGACGAGAGGGCTAAGAGAAGGATCAATAGACAGATCGAAGAGGAATCGAATCCGTATGTAGGCCAAGGTATGTAAACGCATCTAACTTATTAGTTAAGATAGATGTTTGGGAATTGGCCGTTGGATTAGGGATACAAAGAATATGCAATCGTTAGACTTAGAATGGTTAGCGAACAAATTGCATGACTTGGCCGAGTTAATGATCGATCTAAAGTCTAAGGGACAAAGATGATCAAACTGGTACAAGGGTTGGTTGGAATTAAACCAAGGGTAGAAAGACTTCCGCTGGGTACTAAGAAAGCGATTATAGAATTAAGCCTCGTAAAGGCAATTCTATGTTAAATCGCGAAAAATATGGAGGTTCGGCCGGGAAGAGGCACGAACGTGTGACCATGGTCGCCGGACGCCGAGACATCCGGGACAGGACGCTACAGGTTCTCTTCGGGACTTCCGTGTTTCTTGGCTCGGGGCCCCCAACGGTGTTGGCCTGCTCGGGTTGAACTGGCTCTGGCTCCAAGTCTTTGAGCGTGACGTTCGTTCCGAGCTCTCCGGCTAGGAACTTGGTTGCTAACTTCGCTCCGAGGCTTCGACAACGGGAGGTATGGTGTCCAAAAATCTTGTGATGTTCGCAGTATTCTTGATCGTTACTTGGCGGCTGATCTCTCGTCCAAGTGAATGAATCTCTGCCTCGTCCTCGTCCTCGGCCTCGGCCTCGAGGTGTATCAATATGATAATTATGTGCTCCCGAGAAATTGCGTCCTTCGTGATATGTATACGTCCCGCTTTGGTTTGCCTTCTTCTGGACAGGTGGCGCTGTTTGAGTCTTCTCGGCTCGGGAAGCTTGTTTCGTCGGCTCGTGTCTCTTTGCAAGTAACTCCATCTCTTCCTCGTGGGCGACGAAGGCCAAGGCTCGGTGCAGGGCGTCGCGAATCGTGGTTGGTTTGGATAGGTTAAGCTCCTTTCTGAATTCTGACTTGTACCAGAGCGCTTTCCTCAGGGCCGAAAGAGCGGCTACATCGGTGATTCCCTTGACTTTGGCTAGCGTTGATTTGAAGGTTGTGAGAAAATCCCTTAACGGCTCGTTAGGTTGCTGAGATAGCGACCATAGGTCGGCGTCGGATGTTCCGGGATCGATGAGCACTGAGTACTGCTTGAGAAAAAGTGTTGACAGCTCGTCGAAACTGTCGACTGAGTTTCGCTCCAATCTTGAGAACCAGTCCAGCGCGGGTCCTTTGAGATGCTCCACGAATAACAAACACAGGCCGGTGTCCTTTTCTCCCGGTTTGAATTTGGCTCGGGCCACAGATATCATGAACGACTTAATGTGCCCCTTCGGGTCGGTAGTCCCGTTGAAGTAGTCGATTTTGAGCTTTCCCGGGTCGGAGATTGTTGCTTCGGAAATTCTTCTGGTGAAAGGGGTATTGCGAGATTCTTCCAAGATTCGGTCGATGTTTGGTGCCGAGGAGGACACGCTGTGCATTTGGGATTTGACGAGCTTCATTTCGGCTTCGGCTCGGGCTAGAGAGGCTTTGATTTCGTCGAGCTCGCGCTCTTTTTCGGACTCTTCGGCCCATCTTACGTTCTCCTCAGTTTCCTCGTCATCGGTAATGTCAATCTGATCGGAAAAGTTCACTCCAGTTCGGGGGCGCTCAGCTTGCGGATCATTCGGCTCGTTCGTTTGGTCTGCCGCGTTCGGCTCGTCGGGACCATCCTGATTCTCGCGTCGGGTGGAGTCGGCTCGGGTCGCAGCTTTGGAGTTATCGGTCGGCGTCGCGAACACGAGTCTTGTCGGGTTAAAATAGAGTTTTTGTCGAAGAAGCTCGATCTGATGTCGGAGGAGATAAAGAAGGTGGAGAAGTAAGAGCAGTTGGGGAAAGAGGGGATGATGCGGTAGCTGTGGTGTTGGTGTTGATGACGGTGGTTCAAGCTTGGTGCTGGTGGCGGTAAATATTGATGAAGGTGGTGGGTCGGAATTTGCGAGATTTAGTATTGATGGTGATGATGATTGTGATAGTTGTGAGATTCAGTTGTGGTGGTGGCCTGGTAGGTTGGAGTAGTGAGACTCGGTGGTGATGCCCGAGGAAGGTGAGAAATAGTGATATGGAAAAAGAAAAAAGTATGGTGGTGAAGAAATCCAACGAGAGGGAGAGAAAGAAAAAGAAAGAGGAGATCGAGCAAAAATAAGAGAAATCTAATGAGAGAAAAAGAGAGATTTGAGACTTCTCGCCGGCGAGAGGAAGAAAAAAGAGACAACGAAGAACTCATGAGTAATATGGGCCAAAAATTGACAAAAACCATATAGCAAATAGACATTGTTTAGTTAATATTATTTTCGTAGTTTATTTAGTGCATATTCCCTAATTCCTTATGAATTTGTCTTTTTGTTTTGAGGATTTCTCATATTATCAAGTAAAGTTAAATGATGTGGATATAGACTTTCTCATATTGTTACAATTTTGTTTCCACCTTGTCCACATTGAAATTAGAAAGTGTTATACACTCCTCCGATAGATGTAGATAATTTATTAAAATTCAATAATACACATATGAACATTTATTAAATATTATACTGTCACATATAATAAACAAAACTACAAATAGTATTTTATATTGCACATTATGCATAATTAATCTATATTTTAAAATAATTAAAATACTATTTTTCTAAAATTAAAACATATTTTTATATAATTTTAGTTAAACTTATAAAAATAAAAATTAAAAATGACAATTTCGACCAGTAACCCGTGTCCATATCTAATATCATTATTAAAAAAAAAAGGTTTTATTTTAGGACATAACACTTTAAATTCCAGCGGATAAAAATAAATAATTTACTGAAAATTTTGGGTGAAAACGAGTTCTCTGATTGGATGTATTATTTCCTCCAGGATCGTGGGAAAGGAACGGTGAGGATGCAAAGCAAATCTAAAATCCAGTGGACCAGATCGCTTGAAAGAAAGACAAATCCCTAAATTTCTATTTTGTCAGCCTCTTATTAGAACTTTCTTTCACTTTTTGACCCTTTTCCACGTCGTTATCGACTTATCGCTCAAAACCCTAATTGCTCTCCGATCAACCTCCGGTTCCATTTCCGGTCACCCTCTTCTCAATTCCGATCTCCGATCGATTGCATTCTTCGGGTTCAGAAAGAAACATAGCATCGATCTCCGACCTTTTCCACGTCGTTTTCACTCAAAACTCTGATTGCTCTCGGATCAACCTCCGGTTCCATTTCCGATCACCGTCCCTTTTGATTTCCGATCGAATTCCCTCCGTTTCGATTCCCTCTTCTCAATTCCGTTCGCAAAGATGGATAGCATCGAGGATATGGGACAGAACACCGTTGCTCTCTTGCCGGAACAACATCAAGAAATCGCTTCCGCTAGTAGTATCGAGGATATCGATAATTCAATTGGACAGGGCACTGTTTCTCTCTTGCCGGAACAAAAACCGCAGGAACAACACCAAGAACTCGCTGCCGCTAATATTGATGCTTCTGGTAAGTTTGTCCTGTGATTGCCTCAATGTTCTCTCCTATGTTTGCTCATCTCGATGTACTGTGCTTTCTTTGTGTAATATGCCTAACTAGGAAGTAGCAAGAACCTAAGCAAACTATTTTGATTCATGTTATGAGTGTGTTCAGATAATCGGATGCTTCTACTATGTTTTGGTCATGTCTTATGTACTGTGTTGTCTTTGTGTAATATGCCTAACTAGGAAGTAGCAAGAACCTAAGCAAACTATTTTAATTCATGTTATGAGTGTGTTCAGATAATCATATGCTTCTACTATGTTTGTTTGCTCATGTCTTATGTCCTGTGTTGTCTTTGTGTAAAATGCCTAATTAGCAAGAACCTAACCAATCTATCCTAATTCATGTTAATGAGTGTGTTCTTCTGGTTTGTTTGCTCCTCTAATATATAGATGCTACTGTTATGTTCTCTCCTGTGTTAGCTTGGCTTCTTATGTTTTGTCTCTTTTTTTTCCGCAGATCAACAACAAGAAAAACTCCCCGCTCCTCTTCCCTTAATTCTCCATGGTCAATATGGTGGCCGAATCCTACATGGTTGCTCCCTCTTTGGTTGCAACCATGTAGTGGTTGATGGTGAAATATATTGTTCTGACACGCACAAGGAGATGGCCAATTCACTTGCTAGTGAAGGAAAGGCTTATGTGATTGTTGACGGCTTCTTTAACGCAGACCGGGAGAAAAATTTTAGGATTGTTCTTGCGTTGCTGAGAAAGGTTGAAGACAGTGTAGCTGGTGGAATCCCAGAGATTGAAGATGGTGAGATCTTTCAGAAGCTGCCAGTGAATTGGAACTTTATAAATTTGCATTTTCTCCATGGAGAAATGGAACGATCTTGGTTGTTTTACCATAAAAGAAACACTTTAAAGCTCCCTACATTTGAAGTGGGAAATTACACTATTAGATGGTCAAGGTCACACCATGCTGTTTACAAATATGGGGAATATGATGACATCAAGTCTACTGTTTTTTACATGCGATATGACACTAGAAAGGGACAAAAGCCAGTTGAAGGGGATCCATGTGGTTTGAAAGGTTGGTCGTTAAGTGAGCATGTTCACAAATCCACATCACTTTTCTGTCTTACTTACCGCATTGGGAAAGATTACAAGGCTCCTATATTCAACACGTCTAAAGAAGGCGGCAGCGGGAAAAGGAAGAGAGGCTATGATCAGCCAAGTTCCTCTGGTTCAAAGGGAGAAGGTGCATAATAAAGTCTCCAGTCTAGTCTTTCTTTTAGTTTCTGTATTTAAAGGTGCATCATCTGTTGCATGTATCGAGTTCAGAGTGATGTCTTTGTGTAATATGCCTAACTAATTCATGTTATGAACGTGCACTATAACATTCAAATGCTTCTGGAATGTTTGCTCATGTAATATATATGATTCATGTCGCATGTAATACAAATGCTACTGTTATGTTTTGTTTTAACTTGGCTTCTTATCTAAAATTCTTTTGCCTTTTTTTCTCCCAGCACCGGTTGCTACTCTCTTGCCGGAACAACAACAGCGGGAACAACATAAAGAAGAAGAACTAGCTGCTCCCTTTCGCCACGGTCAGTATGGTGGCAGAACCCTTCATGGTTGCTCCCTCTTTGGTTGCAACCATGTAGTGGTTTATGGTGAACGATGCTGCTCCGAGTTTCATGATGAGATGGCTGCTGAACTAGCGAGTCAAGGCAAAGCGTATGTGATTGTTGACGGGTTTTTTGACTCGGGAAGGGAGCGAAATTATCGGATCGTCGTTGCCTTGCTGAGAAAGGTAGAATACAATCTAGCTGGTGGAATCCCTGAGGTTCATGATGTTGAGATCTTTCAGAAGCTGCCAAGAGAGTGGAACTTTATAAATTTGGATTTTCTCCATCAAGAAATGGAACGAGGCTGGTTATTTTTCCATAAAAAAAGCACTCCAGAGTTCCAGATATTCAAAGTGGGAGATAAAACCATTCATTGGTCAAGGTCAAACCCTGTTGTTCACAAATATGGTGAATATGATGAGATCCACTCTACTGTTTCGCAGCTGCAATATTATACTCAGAGGGGGGGGAAGGCAGTAGACGGTGATCCATGTGGTCTAAGAGATTGGTCGTTAAGTGAGCATGTTTACAAATCTACATCACTCTTCTGCCTTAGTTACCACTCGTCGAAAGATGACAAAGCTGGTATATTCACGATGTCTAAAGGAGACGACTGCGGGAAGAGGAAGAGAGGCGTTGATCAGCCTAGTTCCTCTGGTTCAAAGGGAAAAGGAAAAGACAAGACTGTGTTTAAAGGTAAGAAAGTTCCAGTCTTTCTTCGTTTACAAATTTGAGTGTGAAAGATGTTTTTTCCATTAGAAAGTTGGTTTTACAAGTCTCCAGTAATAACAAAAAAGAGTTCCTGTTTGCAGTGTTTTGCTCCTATCTTTGTCCTGTGATGTCTTTGTGTAATATGCCTAACTAGCAAGTAGCAAGAACCTAACCAAACTGTCCTAATTCATGTGGAATGTTTGCTCCTGTAATATATATTCTTCATGTCGTGTGTAACACATGCTAATGTTATCTCTTCTGTTTATATTGGCTTCTTATCTGAAACTGGCTTCATGTCGTGTGTAATACAGATGTTACTGTTATGTCTTCTCATCTTTTGTCTTTTTTTTCATAGATGCTCCTTTGCGGGAAAAACAACAAGAACTCCCAGCCGCTTCTCTTCCGCTACATGGTTGCTCCCTCTTCGGCTGCAACCATGTAGTGGTTGATGGTGAAAGATATTGCTGTGACACTCATAAAGAGATGGTTAGTCAAGGAAACGCATATGTCGTTGTTGACGGGTTTTTTGACGAAAGGGAGCAAAATTATCGGATTGCTGTTGCCTTGCTGAGAAAGGTAGAAGACAATGTAGATGGTGGAATCCCAGAGATCCAAGATGTTGAGATCTTTCAGAAACTGCCAAGTGAGTGGAACTTCATAGATTTGGATTTTCTCAGTCAAGGAAGGGAGCGATCTTGGTTATTTTACCAGCAAAAAAGCACTCCAGAGTTCCAAAGATTCCGAGTGGGAGATAAAACCATTCAATGGTTAAGGTCAAACCATGCTGTTCACAAATTTGGTGAATATGATGAAATCCACTCTACTGTTTCGCAGCTGCGATATCAAATTAAGAGGGGGGAAAGGGCAGTAGACGGTGATCCATGTGGTCTAACAGGTTGGTCGTTGAGTGAGCATGTTTACAAATCCACATCACTCTTCTGCCTTAGTTACTGTTCGTCGAAAGATGACAAAGCTCGTATATTCAACACGTCTAAAGGAGGGAAGAGAGGCTCTAATCAGCAGAGTTCCTCTGGTTCAAAGGGAGAAGGTAGAGACTAGACTGTGTTTCTTAGTTAGTTCCAATCTTTCTTCGTTTGAAAATTGGAGTGTGATCATCATCTGTTGCAGGTATCGATTACAGAAAGTTGTTGTTTGTTGTGTTTGTAGTATAGATGCTTCTGGTATTAGCAATTTTTACATTAGATGACTAATATTCTTGAACTTGTAGATAAAATACCATAGCACAATGATAATGCTTGGAATTTGCTTATGCAGTTAGTTTCTCAAACAATGATCCTCTGTGATTTTCTCATATATGCATTTCTACAAATTGCAATAAAAGCGATCTACAATCTTATCTCATTTCAACAGATGGTAATTTGTCAAGCAAGACGAAATGTTTTATATCAAACATCGACAAAATTACTTAAAACGATAAAACAAACAATTTCTTAGATTATAAGTACAAGTATGATTGTTAGCCATTTAACCTGAACGCATTAGACAAGACAAGCAAGAAAAAGATTTAGATAGTGTAACAAGTAGAAGCAATATACTAAACCAAACCAAGATCGAGTCTTCAAGCCGAACCAAAATTCTAGTTTGGTACGGTTTTCCAAAACCCAAGAAGAAAAAAACTCTGTAATCATCAACAAAAAACATCTACATATAGTTTTTCTATAGATACATACAAATCTGAAAGCTATTAGAACTTAGTAGCAAAGCCTCAGATATAAAACAAGAGATGTGTGGGCACTAGTCATACAACAAACAAACCATAGCATCGGTAACTCCAGGCCTTTCCCAAACTTGTGTGCATCTTTGATCAGCTTGACACTGATGAGAATGTGAGGAATGCACCTCGCAAACACAAATGCTGTCCAGTTTAGTACCCACTCTAGTTTCACCAATGCTGTGTTGCTGTCTCGGATTCCCGCCATTCTCCTTAGCTTCCTCACGTGTAGAAAGATCGAATGCATCTGTTTACACATCAGAATAACTAAGGTCACTTTGGTTCGGATAAGTACATGTTGTGGAGTTGACATTGTAGTCTATATCCAACTAGAGCTATATTAATGTTAGCATAGTATCGGAAAAGAACAGAGAAGAGCCAGGGAAACTTTTCAGGAAGACAGTGGAATGTACCTCACAAATGAGAGTAAGAATCAGGTAGTTGATGGTTACATTTCGGTATAGAGCCAATGTGAAGCAAACGAGGAGGATGAGGTGGTGAACCACAATGGAAGGTATTAAGCCGCTGTATAACCGGTACTGAAGCATATCCCACTGGTCATATGCAAAGTAGCCACATGAGAAACACAAAGCTGGATATGCTCATTTCCAAGTACCACCAACCAACTCAGAATGATCGAACATCTCGTCTAAACCTTTGGCTAAGCATTGATTGAGCAGAATGAAAACCACTGCAATAACACAAGTGCAGTGTTGAAGATGCAAAATCAATCAATATGGTTTGGTGAAGAAAGAACTACATCATACGCAAGATATGGCAAGACAGATGGTGTGATGGTCTTTAAAACCAATTAAGTAATTACATTCAAGGGTGTAAACCAGGTCTCAAATAGAAATAACTACCGAGACTAATGATCAGCATGAATAGTAAAACAGTAGAAGTAACGAATAAGCTCCCCAGACCCAAAGTTTATATAATCAAGGTAAGCTTTATGCACTCCAGCATTTAAGAAGGGTTGCCGCAATCCAAGAAACAAATGGCATTCTGACAGTAAAGCAAAAATTCTGCACTGGTTACTAATCTTAACACGTCCATATATCAACTTATAGACCAAAAAACAAGTTAATCACCCACATCCCGATCATCGAATCAACAAAGCTACATCAAAATTGGAAGTTGAAGAGTTGAGTCTATATAGTCAAGGACATGCTTGTTGGTACAGAACAGACCTTTCATAGCAAAAGATAAAACCTGGAAAATGGCATCAATTAAGTGTTATCTCCCACATGAGATTGTGGCTTATTCTTTACCTCTTTAACCTAAATCATCAAATCTGTCACTCACTAAAATTATACAGGAGATTCAAAGTGATTACAAGAATTAGCATAGAGACAACAACAACTACACCACTAATCAAGCAATCAGAAAAAGAATTCTCTCGGAAATAAGAACTACATTAAGAAATGAACAAATGCAAGCGTGAAAACACACCAGACTAAAGGAAAATTGACCAATACCAAAGACCAATGTGCACACGTATGATGAAAAAATTTCCCCATTAACAGAGCAAAATCCTATAGTAAAAACTCAAAACATAAAAGAAGAGAGGAAAGGGAGGGACCTGATGCAGAGGTGATAATTGAGTGCAAAAGCGAGACAGAGGTATTAACAAAGAGAGGGTCACGATAAATCCAAGAACGAACCACCCAATTCATCAATTGAAAGAAACAACCACCGCAAATCACCCAGAGAAGCTCCGTCCGGAGATTGAAAGCAATCTCAAACACGACGGAGACCAGCCAATGAAGCAGCGTAGCTAGAAAGAACTGCCCAGCAAGATCAGATAAGTCTTAGATGGATGTACTAGACACGGTACTTAAAAAGATAAGCAACAGGCCTTCTTCCCAATGCCAGACCAATGTTATAAATGCTACTATTAAAAAGAAATTTTCACTGTCCTGATATTTTGAGGGATTGAAGTACCTTAAAACGGATCCTTAAGACAGTAGGGCGCGTCCCTGGGTACAGAACAGCTGCTTATCTGCAAAAAAATTTCAGGATAATGATGTAATGTTGTTGATTTCCAGCCAATAGGCAGTTAGAGGTATCTAACCTTATCATCTGACATTGACAATGTACAACTCCAAACACTTTCTGAGAGATAAAACAAGTCCCTATAGCTAATATCATCTGCCTTGTGTTTCTTTCTCTTTGTTGTGTTTGCCTCCTAACTTGTCAAGTGTGTTCTCGTGGACGAGCTGCCCATAGAGAACTAAGAGCACGCAGCCTGTGGAAGTATTCTCCTAGAGCGAGCAAGCCTCAAGCAGCCTGTCTTGTCGTCAATATCTTACTCATTTGTTGCAGAGTCTGCTGTCTCAGATGATCCGCCTGTTCCAATAGAGTGAGAAATTCTGTTTGTGAAAATCAATGCTCACAAGTTTCTAATCAAAAATAAAAATAAATTTTGGATTCATGGAGACTGCAAAAGCACTAAGCAAATACACTTAGCTATAATGACGATAAGAAGAAAGAGTAGCGCGTTACCTGGTTCACAAAACTCTCCAATGCTTAAAGATTCTCCATGGCTGAACAACTTTGATCTGAATTGCTATGCTTTCGACCAAACCCTGCTGAAGTTTATCTAAGCCTTGAGAGAGAGCCTCCTCTGCTTGCTGAGACGACTGTTGCAGGTTACGCACCTCCAACAGTTGCTGATCGGTTAAGGGCTCAACGTATGGCATCACAACCTAGACAACAATAAAGGTTGAGCATTTTTTCTCAAGAGTAAAAAGACTAACGTGTAAAAGTAAGAAAAAAAGGTTTACATTTAAAAACTCGGATGGGCGGACAACTCCAATCCACTGGAAGAAGCCCTCAGTTGAAGTTCGCCACATTTCCGACATCAAGAAGAACACATCAGCCTTTGCAGCATCAGCTTTCATGCGGAAGAGATTTGCGTAGTGGTTCAAGCAAGTATCTACCAGCATTTTGAGCTCAATGTCACCTATATGAGCTTGGAGCGCTGTTCGAATCTCACTAACTCTCCTGTTTTGCTCTTCTAGCCAGTGTGTGTATTCCATCTCAAATGCAGCAATACCTGAAAAAAGTTTATCATTGAGAAAATTACTTCTTTATATACTGAGGATCAAGAGATAAAGCAATGCTAATATATGCTTATTTAGTGATATAAACACCAACCTGAGTTCATGTTCCCAGCTGGTCCTAGATAACTAGTGTCTGATGAATTGCGTACGCATAATCCCTGAAACAAATCAACTTAAGTCAGTATATATAAAGATAAGTTTGATGAACACAGAACAAAAATTAAGTTTGAGCTAACCTGTTGCCTAGCTCTAACAAGTTCCTGCTCGAGCTGAGACAACTTCAACCGGCTTTCTTCTAACTGTTGAACATGGGCCTACAGGCACAAACGTAACTTTGCATAAGCTTTCCTTTTTAATCATTACCACTAGAGAAAATCCCACCAAGGGACCTTTCTTTCTTACCTTCTTTCTCAAACGACTTTTGCGAGCAGCTTCTCGGTTCTGAGCCAAACGCCGTTTCATCTGTGCATACAGAAGGAACAACAATTCATGTCATCACGCCGTGTCTCTTCCTCTAAAGATTAAAATGGAGAAGGAGAAGTTTATGAAGTCTTCGAAACAAAAGGTACAAGTAGCCTTAAAATGCTAAAGTCTACCTTATCATTGATCCGTTCTTCGTCGTGTTTATTATTACTCGAAGGTTCTGCTTCAATAGAGTTATTATTATACACAGAAGTATAATTCGCCTGCACATAATTAACCATCAATCACCAAACAAGCAACACTTATAAATCAGTCTAAAGCATGAATCAGGAAATAAAGAATATCTCACTCTATTGTTATCATCTGCTTCTGGTCTAGCATCCACCTCAAGAGTTGTTGAAGAACCCTGACTGTTATTCTGATTACTAGTAATATTGTTGATACCTGATTTGAAAGGATTCTCCCAACCAGATAACTGTTGAAATGGTTCATACATCCCCATGTCTCTGAATGATACAACTTGAGTAGTAGAAGAAGAAGAGCTCATCATCTGTAAATCCAACAATTACAGACTCAAGCTTATTGAATTCAAGAAACAGATTCTCTATATATGATAGATCCAATCCATATCTCTAAAATTGCATTGCCTACTATACTAACACACCATAAACAAGTAGTTATAATTTCAGTTTTAGCTAAAAAGGTTGAAACTCTATAAAACCCAACTCTCCCCTTTTGAAGAAACAAAGCTAAATAGAGTAATACCCATGAAACTAGAAAGTTGCAACAAGTAAAAACCAAAATTGGAAATTGTTAAGATTTCACAAAGCAAAAGAAAACATCAGAAACAAAAACCAACCTCCATTGACAAGCAGAGAAGAAATTCATCACAAACTCGAGAGATGAAGAATGAATCTTGGCATTCTAAAGGAATATTCCGACCAAACGGTGACCACAAGAGAGAAGAGAAATGAAGAAAACTTTGGTCAAAACTTAGAGGTGAAGCGTATCCATCATTGAAAAAAGCAGAGATATTTATTTTTTTTCTAATATATTTTTTGTGTTGTGCTTTTTTTTCTTCGTTGCTTTGATTAGTCCATGAGCGTAGAATAATAAGCAAGTTGAAGTAAACGAACGATGAAACGACAAAAGCATCATCACCGTGAGAAAATAAATCGAGAGAGATGATAAAGTTGAAGTCTTTTCCTCTATACCAAAAATTGACCTTACCGTGCGCATTTTTATCTAAAATACGCGTGTGTTGATGACCTGGATTCTAATCGTCGGCCGACACGTCAGATGCTTGAGGGGAATATTCCGGACGCCTGCTCAGTCTGATTTACTTTACTAGGACTTAGACTCCCCGGACAAGATTTCAAAAAAATTGAAGGAAAAAAATATCAAAAGAAATGCCATAATGAATTGAGACAACAAATTTCAAAACAATTTTTTTTAACAATAAATAAAGATATATTTTACAAAAAAATATGATAAAGAGATGTAAATCCTCAAAAACATTTTTTAAGATTTGTATTATTATTAGAAAATATTATGGTAAAAAGATGCGAACATAAATAAAAAATATTAAACAAAAAGTTATAATGAGTAGATGCAATTTTTCAATTTTATAAACTATTATAAATATAACTGTATAAATATATTCATCAAAATATTATGATAAAAAAAATGCAATATTTTAAATTATATTATGTTAAAAAGAGACAATCTTCGGAAAAATTTAATAAATAACCAAAATAGATAGTTATTTAGAAAAAAATAATAATGATATAGATAACAAAATATATACTGCTAAATAGCAAAAAATGTAACTTTCTATAAAAATACCAACAAAAACAAAAAAATTACACCACTTTTTGTTTAAATATATATATATATATATATATAGAGATAAAAAGACATGAAAGTTCATATAAAAAAAATTGTTTATAAAAGACACAATTATTGGAACAAAGTGTTTGTGATGAAAAACACTAATACATGGTGATAATAATAATCTAAATAAACAGATATAACTTTATTTTATGCTTTGTTCAAAAAAAAAAACTTTAGTTAATTCTCTCAAAAATATATTACAAAAGGCAATGTTACAACGGTTCATCAAATATACCGAAAGTTGTAATAATTCATCAAATAAACTAAAGTTGTAATGGTTCATCAAATATATCAAATATTGTAACAGTTCATCAAATAAACCAAAAGTTACAACGGTTCATTAGATAAGCCAAAATGTTCATTGGTTTGTCAAATAAACCAAATGTTACTTTGCTCTATTAAACGGTAGCAACATATTCATTTAAATAGTAATTAAAATTAAAAATTTGATGAAAAACTATATCTGAAAAACGCGACCGTAGATATCATATATAGTAAAAGTTGCAATCGTTTGTCAAATATAACAAATGTTGCAACGGTTCTTCAAATAAACTAAAGATTACAACGGTTCATAAAACAAGACCAAAAATTACAATAATTTGTCAAATAAACCAAAATGTTGCAACCGTTCAATTAAACGATTACAATTTTATTTAAATACATTTTAGTAACTAAAATAGAAATAATAGTTTCTAAAAAATTACACCGAAAGACGTGACTGTAGATAATTAAACATTATAACAGTTTATAAAACAAACCAAGAGTTGCATTTGTTGGTGAAATAAATATAAATTTTGCAATGGTTGCAACCGTTTACGAAAAGTTACGATAAAAAAAAACGCAACCGTAAAAGACATTTATTCGGATCACAACTTTCTAAAAAAAATTAACCGTAAAATATATTTTTTTAGTTTAAAAAAAAATTAAATGTTTTAACGATTTATAAAATGAATCAAAAATTACAATTGTTCGTTAAATAAAGTAAATATTGCAATGGTTCAACTAAACGATTGCGATTGTTTATGAGGAGTTACGATAAAAAGATGCAACCGTAGAAAATAATTATTCAGATTGCAACTTTATGGCCGGCATTTTTAGTGTATTTAGAGGACTTCCAGAGCGACAAGGAAGAATTCTCGACCTTCTCTTTATCTTTAATTTCTCGTAGTGCTAATGTAAAAGCAGACAATCTCATACGAAAAATTCGTTCGGAACCGCTTCATATCACATATGTAAACAACGTTCCTCAGGAATGGCTCTTTTGGCACGAATTAATTTCGGATGACAAAAAAAAACAAAAGATTGCAACTTTTTGAAAAAAAACAACCGTAAAATATATATTTTAGTTTAAAAACCAAAAATTAAATCTATATAATATGAGATGTAACTTTAAATGAATAGATGCAACTATGAAGACACAACCGTAAACTGAAAATATACGACTGTAATTGAACAAATAAAAAACCTGTAAATATGTCAACGAAGAGACGCGATTAAAGTACACAACCGTAAAAAATAACCGTAAATATTTCAACAAAAATATGTGATAAAAAGACACAACCTAAAAAAAATAACCGAAAATATTTAAACGAAGGGTTGCGATAAAAAGACGCAACCGTTCAGAAGTGTAAAAGGCATTTATTGAGATTGCTATTATATATAGATTAAGTGTAAAAGCAAATAATTTATTTGAAAAAGGTTAACAATTTCTTAATCCTGATGTATTTATCAATCGGGATTTGTCAAGGCTCAAGAGATGTCTTTTTTCATAATTATTGAAACTAGATTTACTCGCCCGCGCGTTGCGCGGGATACCAAATTTCAACGGGTTACAATACAAAATGTTAAAACTAATCATAATCGTTTGAATTTCAAAAACTATATATATTTATACTTGTTTTACGAAACAATATACAACATAGAAATTATAAAATATATTTGGTAGGTACCACGTAATAACAAAAGTTATATAAGATGAATCGGTCTCGGTAGTTATCAATGGAATTTTATCAAAAAGAGAGTTATTTCCATAAACAAATCTTGTAAGTATATTTTTCTTGATGTTTTGACCTATCGTACCTCATACTAAAAGTAAATTTGCTGAGTTTAAACATCAATCTATGAAAATATATAAACGTAATATTCATGCCACTTCAATAGGTTTGGAGAGCATAATTTACCTATTGAAGCAAGACCATAATACCTAAAGGAAAGTTTTGACCAAATCATAAATGTCTTTATCTTATCTATCCTACTATGCTTACATGGCTCGACGATTTAACCCGATGTTGAATATGATAGTCTGGTTTACTAAACCAAATTATCTGTAGTGCATACATATATCCGATGAATTTCGTTTAGTCATGTGCATACATATATCTGATGCTTCAGGATCTTCAAACATTTTTTCGTCATCTTCTATGATGCATTTGTTCGCTTCCCAACATCTACTCTTCTATTATCTTCTATGCTCACTTACATAGAATAAAACTTTAAATTGATTCTTAACTCAAAACTATTTCCTCATTTTCATCTTCTTAGTTTATCTTTCCTTTATTAGTTATATGGTTTTCGTGCTTCAGTGTAATATAATTTTACGAAAGATATATATTTGTTAAAATTTTCTCAATAGTACTTATTTAGATTTTTACCTATATTTAAACATATTCACCTTTTTATTTAGAAAGCAAACAATAATGTAGATATAATTGTATTATTTTTATTCTTATATTTTACTCTAATTTATTAAGATACAATGAATCTTTCTGTTTTTTTCGTCAATGTGAATCTATACTATTACTCTCTCGAAATAATGTAGATATAATTGTATTATTTTTATTCTTATATTTTACTCTAATTTAATATTAAGATACAATGAATCTTTCTATTTTTTTTCGTCAATGTGAATCTATACTATTACTCTCTCGAAATATAATTTTAAATATAAATTATTTCTTTTATCTTTAAAAACTTATACAATCATACATTTACTATAACATTTAACCATTTATTTTTTTAATCTAAAAATATTATTATTTTAAATGAATTTCTTCTATTTCATTATTATCTCTTTAAGTTAATGTTTCCATGAAATATGAATATCTTCTTATTATTAAAAAAAAAAAACTCTTATAGCTTTCCATTTCAAAATGATAAATGATAGTTTAATAAACTCTTATTATTCTTAAAATGATAGTTTTTAACGTTTTATTTTATTTTTAATAAGTTATTATTTGTTTGTAATTGTATAATAAATTTCATTAAGAATCTTTTTGTCCATCTTAAATAACATTGATATCTTTATAAAATTTTCATAATTATTTTTTATTTCTTAATTAAATATTTAGGGGTTATGTTCATTTTAAGTTATATATTAACAAAAAATTAATTTTAAGTGTTTTATATGTATATATGTTACACTTATGTTATTCTTATTCAAGTAACCTTTATTTAAAATTGTGCATTAATTGATGATTACTTCTTTGATAATGAGATGTATTAACCATAAAATTAAATATTTTGAAATAATTGTCGGTGGGATCCATAATATTAATGTGGTGATGATGTGGACACCCTAAGAGGAGAGAAACTCTCTCATTATATATATAGATTTTTTAACATAAGTACCCTCCTTGGCTTAGTGAGTAATAATAATAGGGCCTTTAGTGACCTACCCAACTCTAAGAAAATGATTATTTTTGTTATTTCGTTTTTTTGCCTAATACAATATTGATTCTTTAGTTAGTTTGGTGTCACTTGTCTAATAAAATCTGCGTTTCGACAGAGACAAATACGTAAAATAAGTGGGGCTTTTGGTTTGGCTTTTATAAAGATTTCATATATATCATATACTTTTTCAATCCTTATAATACGATTAAAAACGTATTGATCAATGACATGCAAAAAGGAAAAATACCGAAACTAAATGAATCTGTTTCTTCTATAATTATGATTTCCTTAAATCTACTAAGCGGTTTTTGACATGACGTTTCCTTACATGTTAAGTTAAAATACAACAAATTT